TTGAGGCCCTGCGGGACGGGGTGTGGCGGCTCTTTGACCAATGTGAGCCTTGAAGGATAGACCACGTGGCTCACTGTTGGGTGCTCAGAATCTGGGCACCTGTGTCCCGCCCAGCTGGGCCCTTTCCCCCAGGGCTCAGTTTCCACAACAGAAAACTGGAGTTACCACCCACTTTCATTTCTCTTTCCTCCATCACTTACTAGTTGTGTGACCTTGGGCCAGCTGCATATCTTCTGAGTGTCTCTATTTCCACGTCTGGAAGATGGGCATCATAATCATACATACCCCATTGGGTCGTTGTTATAAGGACTGAATGAGCGCTATTGAAATTTGGAACTTCAGGGAAACAGTGCAGGTGGAGGGGAGGGCGGTGCTAACTCTATTCTGAGGACTCTGCAGAAGGAAGATCCTCAGTAACCCGAGTACTGAAGACTACTCGTCCACTGTGGAGCTTATTCATTTGTGCACAAATCATTACGTAAGAAAACTGTCTGCTTCTTTCTTTACATCAGCTCAATTCATACATGCCGCAGCTTTTTCAACCACTCATCTGCTGGTGGGCACTTGGGTTGCTTTCATATCTTGGCTTCTGTGTGCTGCAGTGGACATAGGGGTGTGTGTATTCGTTTGAATTACTGTTTGGGGTTTCTTTGGATGAGTCCCCAGAAGCTGAATCACTGGGTCTAAATCAGCTTCATTCAGGCTCTCAATTCCCACAGAGGAATTTCTACTCCACTCACTCCGACAACCTGCTTGGGACAGGGTGTGTTTTCCAGATTGAGGCCCTGACCCTCGCGAGAATATGTGCAACAATATCTTCCGTCCTGCAAGCTCTTCCTGAGCTTTGCCACCTCCTCATCAAGAGAGAGAAACTATGTTCCCTGCCCTTGAACTGGGTGGGCCTTTTTGATTACCTCCACTAATAGAATACAAAAGAAGAGGTGTTACATGACAAAAGTCTGGGTCAGAAAATGCCATGTGCTTCTGCCCTGTTCTCTGTTTTGCAACGAGGAAGCCTACGCAACATGCAGAGACACCTCATGGAGAGGAACTGAGCTTGGTCCACAGCTCTGGCTGAGCACCAACTTGCTAGCCATTTGAGTGCGCCATCTTGGAAATGGATCCTCTGAACCAGCTGACATTGCACAGAGCAGAGATAAGCCTTTACCGCTGAACCCACCCTAGATTGCAGGTTTAGGGGCTAAATGATTGGGTGGTTTGTTGCAGAGCAATAGGAAACAGATGCACCACGCTCCCTCTCTCCCTGCAGGGTTGTGTAAGTCCTGGGGCCTTACCTAGGCCCAGGCGCCAACGAGACCCTGACACCCATGGTCTTGCCCACAAGAACCGTCGGGTTTCCTGCTCTGCAGCTCCTGGGCCATGTGTGGTGTGGGGGATCCTCTGAGAAGCTGGGAACCCCATGGCCGTATCCTTCTGAGGTCTTGCTATTCCCACCATCTTCCCTGCCTGCAAGTTGGCTGTCTGATATTGGCTCTTTCTAGAGTGGTTCTTGCCCCCCTCTTCCTGCCTCCAGAACTCTCGGCTTTACCTCTGGACGGACGAGAGAGTTTCCCAGAAGATAGAAGTAGTCTCTCCCTAAAGGCAGCTCTGCTCTTCGCCTGGCAAAATGCCCAGGTGAGCCATGACAAAGCCTGACTCTCGCTGGAAAGATAGGAGATGCTGGGAGAACCAACCCGATCTGACATGTGGATAAAGCACTCAGACACACATCCACTCAATGACCGTCCCTTCAGCTTCCAACGTGCACAAGCATTGTGCTAGGTGCTGGGAGACGAGGGTAAATGGCCGTGCCACCCATAGACCTGGGAAAGAGAGGTCACCCGTGTCACCTTGCTCATGCTTTAGGTGTCTAAAACCCTGGAAATCTCTGCCTGGAGGACCCAAGACCAGTTTTATGGCTTACCTAAGCACTTTCCCCAGGCCCATACTTCTGAGGGTGTAATGTGGCCTTGTGTACACCCCTGAGGGGTGACCGAGCCATAACTATAAGCAAGACATGTGTACAGTTTGGGCACGCAGACTAGGATGTTCGTATGCCTAGGTCTTCAGCCACGGGTAACACAAGACAGATGCGGAGCCAGGAAGAGAATCAGGGTGGGCGGGCTGAGGGCTGGGGTCAGGGCTGACCCACCCCGCACTGTCATGTCCCTGCACAGAACCCCAAAGAGTACTGGAACTCTAAATGTGAACATGGCCTTCTTGGTCATCGTCAAGAATATTTCTCAAAGCAGGACAATAAATGTGTTTTATTTTCCAGCCTGTTAAAGGGTTATACATAAGGCATGTGGGCTTTTATTTGCACTATTAACATGTCAGGGTAGTTCCGGGGGACAGTAACAGTGGGGACAGGGGTGGTGGTGGTGGGATATTGCAGAGATTCCAGAAGCTGCCTGCAGACTGCCCTCCACGTTGCCACAGCTGCCCCCATCTCTAATCTGGAGTGACAGAGACAGGAAGGGGCAGCAGATGGGACTAGTGTGATGAGAGGCCTGTCTGGGGGAAGAAGCCGGCGGAGGGGGGGCGGCAATGGAATCCAGCTGTTCTGCCAAGTTCCAGTTACCAGCACAAACACCCCCAGCTTGAGGGGAGGGGACATGAAGCACAGTTGAAGAGGAGGGCATTTTAGACCCATGTTGCATGGGGTGGCTAGGAACCCAGCCCAGGACAGAATAGCACAGTAGTTCTCAAAGTACGGCCCCGGAACCACCGGCATCGACATCAAGTGGGAGCTAGTTAAGCTCTTGGCCTCTTGCGAGATAGATGGCGTCCCTCCATGGGAAGAACAATTTGTGTGCAGACTCTCTGAAGAAAACTCTTTACTGGAAAAAAAAACACTTCTTGAACATGCTAAGTGTCCAAGAGTGGGCGAATGGTTCATTCAAAATATCAGATTTGATCCTCCACAGACACTCAAGATTGGTATTATTATTACCTGTTTAAGGGCTTATCGAAGAAAAGTGAAGGTCTGTGGATGAAAGAGGGGCTCTACAGAAAGTCACCTCACAGGGTGGTTGATCATAAATCCCTAACTGGGTAGGTTGCGGTGGGCAGTCACCCCCGGGGCCCACGATGCTTTTAGTGAAAGTTCACATCGGTCGGAAGCAAGCCCTGTGCATTGTTCTCGTGCATCTAGGTTAACACATCTTGGGAATAATCATAATCACCCTCTTGATCTCAACCATCCTGTAATCCAATCCCCACCCTGCTTTCATGCCACCTTCATGTAACCTTCCTTACTTCCCTCGGAATTTCAAGTGCAGAAAAGAAATGGCAAAACTGTCCTCCAAAGCATTTGAGATCTTGCTCCCCAGTAATAGTCATCAGTTTGGGCTCAAGTAAACTCAAAAAAATTCTTTACAGGTTTGGACGATTCTTACCCTGCCTGCCTCGGACCACAAGGCTCCCAGGAGGCTCCCTGGTCTGTGTGATTGTCAAACCACCCAAACTTCTTCTCAGACTTGATGGGATTCAGAATCTCCCGGAGGCCTTGCTAAAACAAGTTGCTAGGCTCCTTCCCCACAGTTTCTCATTCAGTAGGTCTAGGAGGAGCCCCCAAACACACATTCCTTACCAAGTTCCCAGGTGCCGCTGCTGTTGCAGGTCCAAGGACCATGCTTTGGGAAGGACCGTGCTGGCCTGGGATCCAGTTCCCAACCTGCTCCACCCATGCAGAATGACGTCCTTGGGAGATGCCAATGAGATAATGGGAATGAAAGAGCTTTGTCAACTGCACAGGTAAATGGCCCTGGTCAGTAACCTGCCTGGTAACCTGCCTGAAGCTGGTCTCTGAGTCTGGGAATGCAGAGGGGTGGAATGCAGGTGGGGGCCCCACTGTCATCTGGAGATCTCTTGCAGCCCATCTTAATTCTGGGTGGTTCCTTCTCTAGGAAGAAAGCCAGCTTCTGAGGGCTCAGACCAGCAATCCCTCCTGCCGCCCTCCTCATCAACCCACACCTCCTCCTTCACCTCAGGCAGCCTACTGGGCACTGCTCCAGTGCTGGCTGGCTCAGGCCACTTCTGCAGGGGCCAGCCAGCCCAGGCAAGCTGGGGCAGCATCAAGCCTGTGATTCAGGGCTTGGGACAAGATTCCGCTCACACCTCCAGTGTGAGACTCAGAGGCCACGACTTCTCTTCTCTCAGCCTCAGGTTACTCTTGGGTAAAATGGGTGCAACATGTGCATAGAGTTGTGCAAGTTCAGGAGCCAGTAGTTTTTTACAGTGCTTGGCATAGAGCCGGGCCTCTGGCAAGAGTTTAATCAGCGGTACTGTTAGTATTTTCAAAAAGCGCTTGGGCCCAAGCCTCCTCCTGATAGAGGTTCGGACTTGGAACGCAAACCGGCTCCCACGCTGTGCACCGGTTGGACCCCGATACACCCTCCCTGGAATGCCAGCGTGGGGGCCCCTCCGCCTGCCGGCCCGCGTGCAGTTTGGGTTGGCAGGGCAGGACCGGATTAGGTAGGAGCTGAGGCGGGGAAGGGGCGTGCCTGGGGCGTGGCCTCATCCTAGATGGGCCTGGGGCCGGGGTCCGCGGGGAGGAGAATGGGATGGAGGCGGCGGCAAGGCCGAGGAGAGGCGGGACCGTTAGGTAGCATTGTGAGTGGGGCTTCCCACCCGGTAGGGCTCGAGCGCGAAACCACTCCAGGCCGAGGTTAAGCTTTATCTTGGCATCGCCGAGAGCTGGAGGGACACGGAGAACAGGACTGAGGAGGAGGGCCCAGGGACGAACCTCATCCCCGGTGGGCCAAGGGGCGGGGCTGGCAGGATAGACTGGCGGCCATAAGTGGGGCGGGGCAAGGGGCGTGGCTCCACCCCCAGGAGGGCCCGAGGCGGGTCTGGCTGGGTTACAGTAGGGTGGCAGTGGTGGGCGGAGCCTGGTCGGGCTTGTTGCCAGGCTACATTCCTGCAGCGCCCTGGGGCGGGGCTAGCGGACTCGCGTCTGGAACCAGGGGGCGTGTTCAGGGCGTGTTCTCAGGCGGGGGCGGGGCTTGGCCCAAGCCGTTGCTTTCTCTGAGGACCGCCGGGAGGGGCCAAGTGGCTGAGCCCAGCGCTGCGCACTTGGACGCTGGCTGGAGTGCGAGAGGGCGACGCCAGCCTTGCAGCGCCGAGCAAAAACCAGAACCAGCAGGTGAGAAGGGACAGGGGGTGGGGGAGGTCGATCAGACAACCAGTAGCAAAGTTAGTTTTCGCCACCACTTCCAGAGCGCGCTTGGGCAGCTTTCTCGGAGCAAGTGACAGGTCGGGCCAGGAACGCAGCTGGTGGGTGAGAAGGAGCTTAAGTTCCGGAGTTCTGAACCCCAGTTCTCCAGCTCCGCCATGTACCAGCTGTGTGACCCCGGGTTCATCCCTGCCCTGGGCTCTGGACCTCTCGAGTTCCAGTAAAAGGCGTTTGAACCAGATGAACTTCACGGTCTCGTTGCCCTTTCTTGTTAAAATCCGGGAAGGTGAGGGCTGGCAGGTGAGAACCAATGCAGTTCAGCCACAGGTATTCAGATCGCCGTGCCCAGACCGCGGTTTCTCTGCTTGCAGAGTCGCACTGAGCAAAGCCAAGTTTCTGTAAACATGAAGCGGATTGCTATACAGGTCACACTAGTTACTTGGATGGGGCTTGAACCCACAAGCCCAGGAAGAATGGGGCCTAAGTCTGGGAGATTTCAGTCTCCCTTTCCCCAACTCTGAGAGCCCAGTATGACTTTGGGTCAGAAACTCAAAGGGGCTTTTGTACCCCTCCAAGGGCTTTTCCAGGTGAGTTGGCCTGAGAGATCCAGGGCAGAAAGCAGGGACAAGTTCTCATCTGGTGAATGTGGACGGAAGAGAAGGGAAATCCCAGCCAGACATTGGTCCTAGAGTCAAGCCCAAGGCCTGGGGCTCTTGCTGCATGCCAGGGTTAGTTCTTGGGTCTAGAGGTTTTTGTCGTCCGTGGTTGTGGGTGCTCTGTGCCAGGACCATGGTCACTGGGCAGCCCAGACCAGTGGTCAAGGGCTTGGGCTTTGGGACCAAACTGACTTGGGTTTCACTCATCCACTAAGCTTCAGTTTTCTCATCTGTAAAATGGGGATAATGACAGTGCCATTGTCAGTAGTGAGGACTTAATAGAATAATGGGTGTACAGTACTTAGCAAGGCTCCAGGCACGTAGTGAGGCCTCACCACGTGCCAGCTGCTCTGATGTGGATGAGCAGGTGGTGGGCTGGCTTGCTGCCTGGGAATAAGCCTGCTTTTGGAGGGTCGGAGATGGGGTACATCACCTCCTGACCCCGCAAGAGCCAGAAATTGCCGTCTGCCACCAGCATCAGTTTGTCCATTTCAAGATTGAGGTTTAGATTGTCATCTGGACCAAAGAGTGGCTGAGCGTTCCGTACTATTGCTTGAGCTTGGTGGGTATCCAATTAAATAAACACAAAAATGTGTCCTGAGCACCCATTATATACTGGGTGTTGTTTGAGAGGTGAACTAGTCAGACCTGGTCTCTGCCCTCATTTTGAGTTGCTGCCAGTGAGGGCTCCCCATCCCCACCAAACCCCTGACGGAGAGGATAACTCAGATGCGGGCTCCGGACCAGATGAGATTCCGTGGATCTGTCCTGTCTGGTGACTGCAGTCCAGCTCTTCTATTGCCCACTTGGCTTGGGGTGGAGAGGAGGAACAGTGGGCACCTGTTATCTGTTTGATCAGGGCTGGGCACTGGAGGAGACTGGGTATACTGGTGCCGGCTCCCTGCTCCTGGGGAAATGAGCTCTATACTTTGGAACCGGCTGGAAAGTACAACGGGACAAAGTCTGACTGAAGGCTGCACTAAGTAGAGTAGAAAGAGAGAGAGAGAGAGAGAGAATGGGGGGGCTGCTTAAAAGAAGTGAGACATTGGAGAAAGCAGGGTAGGGAGTGAGGGAACTTCTTAGAGTTGGTGAGACTTGAGTGGGACTTTCTGCCTGGGTCCCCAAGTCCTGGATGGTCTTGGATCAGCTTGGGGCCACAGACTCCCCTCTTCAGCATGTTAGTGACGTAAGAGGAGTGTGGTGTGGTGGGGAGGGAGAGGTCAGTAGGTGGTGCCTGTGGGGAAGGTGTTCATTTCAAACAGGGCTTAGTAAGCATCACTGGAAAGTCCTCCCCACCACTCTATCCCCCACGTGAGGGTGACAAACGATGACACATTGATCCCGTCCTTAGTTGCTTGCTGTCTGGGAAGGAGCTAAGACAAGGATACCCTTGACTCTGATAGGAGATGAATGAAGAAAGGATTAGAGAGGTCTTCAGGAAAGCTTCTTGGGACGACAGAGTTTGGGTGGGCCCTAAGGATTGGGAGGGTTCCAGCAGCCCCAGGGAAGGCAGCGTGTGGTGCAGATGAAACTGTACAGGCAAAGGCAAGGAGGTCAGTGTGTTCAGGGAGATTTAAAGACATTTCCAGGTCATTCAGTCCAGCTGAAGTGTTGGGACTGTGCAAGGATTTGAAGGGGGAATGGTAGGTTGGATCAACTCATCTAGGGCCTTGAATGCCAAGGTGAGCTATTTGGATTGTTTTGTAGAAAGTAATAGCTACTGAAGGTTTTTGAGCAGGTCAGTGACACAGAGTGGCATTTTATTTTTTTAAGACTGTATTTATTTATTTTTAGAGAGAAGGGAAGGAAGGGAGAGAGGGAAAGAAACATTGATATGCAAGAGATACATCGATGGGTTGCCTCTGGCATGCCCCCAGCTGGGGACCTGGCCCACAACCCAGGAGTGTGCCCTGACTGGGAATCGAACTGGCAACCTTTTGGTTCACAGGCCAGCACTCAATCCACTGACCCACACCAGCCAGGGCCAGAGTAGCACTTTAGATATGCTGGAGTGGGTGACCCAGTGGTCAAGGGCTAATGAATTGATGGCAGTGGTGATGGGGAAGAAGGGGCCTGTGGGCTTTGGGGGTATCTACAGCTGGGGGATAGAAAGCGGCCGTGAAAAGGGTGGGAGAGACTCAGACTGACATGGTAGAGGAGAAAGTGCCCCAGTGCACGCCCTACGTTCCTTTCTGTTCCCTACCCCAGCTAGGCCATGGTGCACAGCAGGGGCTGAGGAAGGTGCTAGATTGGGTGGGCGGGGGTGCCAGGGAGGGTGATGAGTGCTGCAGAGTGATAGAGAGGGCGTCACCCAAGGAGGCCCCATGGTTTCCCATGACATCTGGGCCAAGCGGCGGAGCTCGGCCAGTCAGCAGCGGGTCTGGCAGCGGGTGGCTGGGGAGAGATGCTTGTGGCTCTCCCCTTCCAGCCCCAGCCGAGGGAGGACCCAGGCTAGAGGTTAGCTCGTGGGGCACAAATTTCCCATGTGTGGGGGTGGATTTTGGTTCCCCAGTTCCTGTGAAGTTTCTGCCATATGGGACAGTCCCCTCTCTCTTGAGACCTCAGAGTTTTAAGCCACTGAGTGGAAGCTTCTACCTCCCCACCCCGTTTCCCCTCCACCCTTGACCCTGAGGCCCAACCCCCATTTGCCCCCCCCCCAGGACCAGGCAGTCCCTCCTGGCACAGGGCTGAGCAGACCCAAGCCTTGAGCATTCCTTTGGGTTTGGAGCCTCTGGGGCCAGCTGGCACCTCCTGCTTTGGGCTTGGCCTTGACCCCTTGATCCAAACTGTTATACCCACTTCCTCCACCCCATGGGAAGCTGGGGGGTGGTGGTTATGATTTAATAAAGAACATCAAACTATCAGGAACTGGCCCTGGGAGAGGCAGGAGGGAGGGAAGAGTCTGGGACCCCGTGTGGGACCAGGCGGGGACTAGCGTGCAGGGCTGGTTTAATCTCAGCAGGAGCTTCCCTGAAAACACTGCTTCCCTGCCTCCAAGCCTGGATCCGAGAGGCCAGGAGGGAAGTCCAGAGGTAAACATAAGTGGCGCTGTACCTGCTGCTTCCCTCTTCCCTTTGCCCTTGCTGCTGCCTGTGAGGAGGAACCAGACACAGATCCAGTTGGTGTCTGGGGGCTGGCTGGTTCCTGACTCACCCCCGGGGTTCCCCCTACACCACGATTTTCCTGTCGCAGCTGACTCACTCTGTGCTGACATGGTGAAGCCGCTGACGGGAGGGGAGAGGCCTGTATTCTGGCTCTTGAAGTTCCTTCCAACTCCTGTGTTGACAGGCCATGTGACCTTCCATAAGTTTCTTCTCCTCGCTGGGCTTCCCTCCCCTGCTCTGCCAATGGCCTATCTCCTTCCAGGCTCTCAGGGAGTTCTATAACCAGGCTCTCAATACTGACCAGAAGTGGGCAACTCCTCTCAAACATGCGATAATGGGTCCCACCTCTTCACCCTGGCCTGTCCTCTGCCAGAGGCACGCACACCTACCTGCCATCTGTATGCAAGTAGGGACGTGGTGCAGTGTGGTGGTGGAGTTGGACCAGGAGCGGGAATCTTGGCCCTGCACCTTCTGAGCTGTGACCCTTTCTGAGCCTGTTTCCGAATCTGAAAGCTGAGGATAATAATGGTAACTACCGTATCTCACAGGGGGACGTGAGATAAAACAAAAATGCATACGTGAAGCTTAGCAGTTTTATACCTAGCACACAGTGAATGCTCCGTAAGTCAGAGCCGTTGTTCTTTTCTGCCTCTGGCCTGTCTTTCAAAGCTTGTACCAGGGTGCTTCGCAGGCCTCCTAGAACATTCCCTAGTAGGTACTTCTGCCTGGGCTCTCCGTGCCTCTCCAACATGAGTGTGTGCATACCCTAAGACGCTAGTCATTTCCAACTGTGCGGTGCTCCCCAGCTCTTCCTGGGGGTGGCTGGGTCTCCCCAGCATGATTCTAAGCTTCCTGAGGGGAAGTAGGTCTGAACGTCAATGGCAGACTTTCTCCAGCCCCTTATTCTGTGCTTACGTACACCGAGTACTTTCCTCTTCACAGCTGTTCTGCGGCATACTGAGTGTCTCTGTGAACTGTCCCCAGGCCGGGACTGCCCTGTCTGTCTCTGTATCCTGACTTCTGGCTCCGGGCCGGGCACACAGCAGGCACTCAGGAAATAATAGTTGGATGAATAAGTGATTCCCCTTGGGGCAGCTCAGCAGGACCTAGCTCGGTGCCAGATCCTTGGTGACTCCTTGGCAAAGGCAAAGCCTGGAAGCAGGGTCCGGGTGTCCCTGCCTTGCCCTTCGGGCCTGCCTCCCCGGCTCCT